GGGGGGGCACAAAAGCTTTTGGGACTTTTGGGAAAATATTCTGTGGACTGAGGAGACAAACACTGAAACTAACACAGCCTTTCATAAAAAGAACATCATTGCAACAGTTAAACATGTTGGTGGTGGTGGTGGTCTGGGGCTGCATTGCTGCTTCAGGACATGGAAAAGTAATTGACGGAAACATGAATTCTGCTCTCTACCAGAAAATCATGGAGGAGAATGTCTCATGCTTTGAAGCTGAAGCACCCTTGGGTTAGACAGGAGGACAATGATCCAACACACTACATCAAGCCTCCCGCTGAATGGCTCAGAAAAACAAAATGAAGGTTTTGGAGTGGTCTAGTCTGTACTCGAATCCAATTTTGGTGTTCTAGAATGACCATTAGCAGGCTGTTCATGCTGGAAAACCCTCCTATGTGGCTGTATTAAAACAGTTCTGTGGGCCTAAATTCCTCCACAGTGATGTGAAAGACTCATTGTCAGCTACTGCAAACACTTGATTGCAGTTCTTGCTGCCAAAGATGGCAAAACCAGTAATTAGGTTTAGATGGCAATTACTTCTCCACACAGGGCTAGGTAGCTTTGTATGACTTTTTTCTATAAAATTGTGATTTAAAAAGTGCATTTGGTATTTACTCCATCTTTATTTGCCTAAAATAAAAATGTATTTATTAATCTGAAATTGCTTCTCGGAGACTTGGTTTTAGGATTAAAGTTTAAACAAGGCTAGGCTAAAGGTCCAGACTGGGCACTTGGTTGTGTAACTTAGTAATGAGATGTTTTGGAATACATTAAAGTCAGTGAGTGTCATCTGGTTAACAGAGAACAACTTTGATCTAAAATGTAACAAGCCTTCATTGAAAGGACCTCAGATTTGACATTGCTGATAATAAGGTCCCAAGTCTGCAGTGGATCAGATGAGCAGCTGCTGAGAGACAGAAAAATGTCATATAACACAGTCATCACCATTCATAAAATAAGAAGAACTATGAGACAGGAAGTCGACATTCTATCTTATAATTTAACATTTTTTAATTTCAGGAAACCATATTTGGGACTTAGTATCAAAGTTTTTATTCAGTATGTTATTAAATTTGACTTCTATTTGAAGACACAGTAGCTTATACTTTGTTTGTTGTTTGAATAAAAAGCCAACTTTCATATGTTGAACTATGATTTTTTTCTCAGTGAGTCTCAATTTGAACTTGTTTTATAATAATCTGGTAATTTCTGTACAGTCAAAACGCCTCAAAAACTTGAAAAAAAGAAGAAGATTTTTCTCAGTAAAATTCTCTTTTTTTGTTTAAACAGGACCTCCTTCATAATAAAGAGCACATTGTCTGCAAATTTTATTTATTAATTTATTTTTTATTCAGTTATTTGAAAGAGTGCAAAATTTCACCCACAATTATCCAGTTAAAACACGCACACTTTAAGCGTTTAATTTGCAGATACAAAACTGATTTATGACTGTGGTTAAGCCACATTTCTTCAGGTGGTTTGTGGAACATTTAGTGACATGGCTAACTGGTAGATAACATCTTTGATAATAAGAGTGTTTCACAGTGAAAAGCACCACAGTGAAAGTGTGAAAGTATGTGCAGATATTTGGAAGGTTAATGAGATCCGTGCAGCATAGAGTCTATATTGTGGCTGAACAGTGGCCTCCCGCTCCCATTGGGAATTAGCCATGCAAGACTAATGAACCCAAATGGTTCTAGGACGTCAGCTGTATGTTGAGGTCTGAAAGGGTTTTTCACAATAACAATGACGCAAGTGTTGAACATGAGAAAACAAAACTACTGTATTTAAGGCCTTCCTAACGAGCACATTTAGACTATTTAATGTTTTATTGTAGAAATTATGGCCCACTTTGTTTTACTTTTTGCATCATATGGTCTTGGGGTGAAGGTATGGATGGCTTTCAAATCTGTGGAAAAAGCCAAGGCTAGAATTTCACCTTAATGACAGACCAGGTATCTACAGGAACAGAGAGAGAGGAAAACCCATGATTTTGGTCGATGCAAATACTTCAAGGCCACAAAACTCAAACAGCAGATACAAAAGAGCAAGTGACCTTAGCTTACAAATATTTTAAGTACAGCGAAATGTGGGAATATTAAAATCATTTGAGCAGAAAGGGGCACAATTTCACTGCAATTTATGGCTTTGAAAGGCAAATTCAGTGGCAGCTAGATGACATGTCTGAGTTTAGGCTCAAACACAGCTCTGCATTTAGCTGCCACGCTTGAGGCTGAAGTCATCTGTTTATGAGATGGATCTTTTTCCCCCTACAAACAACAAAGATTTGCAGTCGTTTTATATTCTTAACTGCGGTGAGCTAAAGACAAAACACAGTAAACACTCACCTGACTGGATGTAAACAAACTCATGTCTAATAGAGAAAAGGTATATGTGACTGTGATGCTGTTAATACTGAAGAGATGTGAGCAAACCTGTTGATGATGATTGGTACTTTTGTCTTGACACTTTTCTACATCTGTAGCTGTCACATTTGGCCCAGTTGAAGGAACTTGTTCCAGCTGAGAACGAGCACTGTCCATGATCAGGATCGGTGTGTTTTCCTTGCAGTGGATTTCACATGCACACCCAAACATCATTTATTTTAGAAAAGACTCCTTGGAGGTGCATTAACAGTTTAAATGACCAATGTAGCAGGTTTGGATGTCAATTAGACATCTCACTAGTACAAAACCTGCACTGATGTGAAATTAGCGTGTGTAATTGTGTGGAATATTCACAGTTAGTGGGCGATTATGCCCTGTTCTGCCTTAATTACTCAGGAAACACCTTCATCTAAACCACAGTACTTCTGCTGTACATGTGTCTCCTGGAGGGTGCTGCATGTGAGTAAGAACAGCTTTTATATCCTGATGTGATTTGATGACAAGAACTTAGCTGGCCTATACCCCACCCCTCCCCTCAGGAATCACAAGGTGAAACAGCAAAGAATCAGATACAGAAATATAATCAACAATTACAATTTTAATCTTAGCATCTTTACCAATAATCCAGATTATCAATAATCCACATACCCCAATTAGTATGATCAGGGTACTCAGTAATATTTTATTAGACATCAGTGAACGACAACGGCTTTGTACATCTTTGAATTATTTTATCAAGTCCGCAGCAGTTTTAGCATATTTACTGTGTAAACACTGCTCCAGACTGATGCAGGTTAATTTTCTGTTAGCTTTCTGATATCACATGTGATCATGTGACCAATCCATATTTTAATGGACTCACTCTAATAATAACCAAACCGTGAGACAGAGTCAGGTGGTATTCTGTTTGTTTATTTAAAGGTTTCCCCACTGCGCGCCCCCTCCCTGTGTGAAAGCCTAGTCTGAAAGGAGGAGGATACAGGCCACTATAGCGCCACATCAGCACATTTATTAACAAGGCTACTTGTTTATTCACAACACCTCCACCCCTGAATGGTATGGCACTCTGTGCTGCCCTGTAACAACAGACTAGCATGGTGAGGCTAGTTCAAAAAAAATCCCCAGGGGGGCTTGAGGAAGGTCCAACACAGGATGGAGTTTGAGATTAGACACTGAGACTCCAACTAATGAACAGAGTAGGAGGCAGTTTTGCTAAATATCAAAGTCCACAGAGGAAATAAAAATGGGGAAGATGATGCTGAGAGACAAAGAGAAAATAGGCAATACAAAGTATTCTCTTTTGTCTCTCGATGAAACTGCTGATCCGTAAGGCGCACTTTGATGATGAGTTGAACGTTGCGGCCCGAGATGAAGCCCCAAGATTCACAGCGTGGTCGTCGTCCTTCTCCAATCAATGATGTAGCTCCTCTCTCCTTCTTCCACACAAAAACGGATGGACTGAAGAGGAAGACGAGAGCAGAAAGGCAGAGTGAGACTGTGAGCAAAAGGGGGGGGGTGATGAAGATGCTGCTGACTGTATGAGCATGCGGGAATGGCATTAATTTTTCTGTTCGCCACTTCAGATTAAAACTGAAGACAATATGCATCCCCTAATTTATATGCAACCGCATTATGTGGACTAATGTAAAGTTTTATAGCCGGATGTTTGAAATATGAACACATCTCCACAGTGAAATCAAAGGCTGCAAGACAAATTGCTGACAAGACTCCACAACAACCTGTGCAGTATGTTACCTGCGTAGGGGACTACAGATCTCCAATGGGAATGATTTCTTCGTTGATAAAAAACTCAATGGTCTCTTCCTCCCAGTCGTCCACATTGCTGTCGAGCTCATCTGTGTCAACTCCTACATGACACAAAAATTTCAGCACTCTTAAGAAAAAGCCTCAAAGGCAAGTTAACAGTGAGTGAGATAACAGTGAGAGGCCCCACCTCCTCTGAGCTCGAGGCGAATGCTCTTCTGTTCTTGATAAATCTTCAGCGCCTCCTCCCTGTACCGTCGGTAGTCTTCCATCATTGCCCTGCGCTTGTCCACCAGCTCCTACTCACACAGAGCAGAGTTCAGCATCATAACCCACAAAGCTTACATTTCAGTGTGAACACACAGCTTGTATTACCATGAAAGCATGTAAAGTGTTAGCAGCCTCAGTGAATTATACTATAGAGTCAATATAAAAGTTAGCAAAACGCTTTAAATTTCTTTAAAGAGATACAGGAGATGATAAACTTGCAAATTAACAGGACAATAAAAAGGGGCCTATCCAATGCTGATGGAAGAGGTGGGGGACAGCACATGAAAAATTGGGAAAAGCATTTCCAACAAACTCTCCCAAAGATAAGTTAAAACATAAATATAAATATAAACATAAACAGGTCAAACCTTAGAAGCCTTGGACTGGCTCAGACGATCCTTCTGCTCAAAGATCTTTGAGTATTTCTTCAGATCTTTTTTGATCATCTGCAAGAGAACAGATGAGTGTATATGACAGCATGTTAACGTGACAGATGGCTTCACAATCACAAACGCATCATCGCAGTACATGGTGGACACATGTATAATGTGGTGTAGCTGGGAGCCTCAGATTAGAGGTAGAATCAGGAGCCACGGTGCAGCTCTCATACGAGGTGTCAGAAAAATTATGTTTGTCGTCACTGGCTCTACACACTCAACAACACACACACACACACACAATATAGAGAAGAAACTGTACCTTTATCTGTTCTATGCTGAGCAGGGTTGGAGGTCTTGGTCTCCAGAGCAGCTGACAGAATCGATCCTTGTTGTTCTTCTGGAGGAGTCGGCCCTGGAACGTCCACAGCCAGTACGCATTGTCCACCTAGCATGCACGTAAAGGTGGAGAAAAACGAAGTGAATGGATGACAGAAAAAGACCAGACTGCATTTCCTCTCATCTGCAAAGGACTGGCGAGGCCTGTGGAGCGCTACGCACCTTGTGGCTCCACCACGAGACGGAGGTGACGACGTAGCGACCCGTTGGATCCCACTCCACGTCAGAGGCCATGTAATGCTCTGCTATGTTCATCATGGTGCAGTCTGATGTGTCTACAAAGGCGAGAGCTCCGTTCATACTGCAAAGGAGAGGCAACGCGGTTATATCCATGTACAAAGACACTCATCTCTACAGATATTAATGAAACACAAGCCTCAGATTAGCGTTAGAATCAGGAGCTTAGCTCTCATACGAGGTGTCAGAAAAAATGTTTATTTGTCATCAGTGGCTTCTTATATTAATCTCACACACACACACTCAGATAAAACCTACCTCCTGAGCCCAGCCAGCACCATAAACTGTCCCTGTGGGCTCCAGAAGATACTGTTGGCCTGCTGCTTGTCAAACATCTCTGTGAAAGGAAAAGTGTCACATTCAGTTTAGTGGACACATTAGAAGCAACAACGCTCTGCTATAACATTGCATGCCTGTCCTTCTACTCACTTATGAGCTCGATCTTGCCGTTGTTTTTGACATGATAGAAGGAGGCGTTGATTCTTGGCGACTCGCCGTGGAGGACAGCAAACTTACTGCCATTGGGCTCCCATGCAAACGCTATGATGCTTTCTAGAAGGAAAACAACACGAAGGGAAACAGATTAACTTCCTTTCTGTGGGAATTAGAATTACTTGCAGCTCATTTCTGTGTTTGTACAAATACATGTCTTACCCTTCATTTCCACCACATCGACAGGAACCTGCTTCTCTCTCATGCGGAAGATTTCAAAGTTGGTAACGACACCCTGAGAAGGCAAAAAACATCAACTTATCATTTCTTGTTTTTTTTTTAAAGAA